GGGGAATTCTGGGAGTTGAAGTCCACATATCTTAAAGTTGCCAAGGTTGAGAAACACTGCTCTAGGCCCTTGCATATAGAAAGCTAGCAAGTCAATGAAGGCTTTTGTTCCCTGACATGTTGGAAAGGCAGTGGAAAAGGGTCTAAGGAAAGCCATAACCAGCTCTCTTAATAAATTACTGTGGCTTGATCTTTTATATCTGTAAATTGCATGTAAGGACTGTATTTCTTTTAAGGAGCTGTTTGAGATAGTAAATAACTTAGTGATGTGAAAAACCCTTTGTAAATAATAATGTATATTTTGAAGTATTGTTTTGAGTGACTTGCAGTAGAAAAGAGGAATAGAGTCGTTTTACCCGGTTTGATAAATCTCACGTTGCAGAAATAGATGCTCTGAATATATTTTTTTTCAGATTGTGACTGCTGTGCCTCAGCGGTTTAGAGTAGAAATTCTCCCAGTGGATGATGGAACTCCAAGAATTGTCACTAACTTGGGTCTTCAGTGGTTGGAATATATGAATGGCAAGGTGAGCTTTTATGTCTGTTTCAAATTAGACAACTGTCGTTTTTTAACTTGCACAAAAAATAGGAAGATGCAGAACCAGAAATAAATACCTTGTTTGATTCTAAGATAGAAAGATGCAACTATGGATATTTCAGGCAGACTTTACACATCTTTCTAAAGCATGAGTTGTTTCAATTATGGTTTCTTAATTAAGCCACAATGGTGAGATTTACACAACACATTCCACCATAAGCCACGATTTACACATGAGTTGAATCACTTTCAACTCCATCCTTGTATGAAATGAATGGAAAAAAATGGCCCACATTTTTGGTTTCAGCCACTCTGGGGGATGTTCTGGGAGCCATAAATGGAATAAATAAGCAAATGGAATAAATTTCATTTATTATAGTGTTTATATATTTCCCTGTTCCCCATGACTCTAGATGGTATACAAATGATGTAATACTGTAAATCACTCTCTGACTTACAGCTTAGCATGATGTGTGAATTCAGCCCCACTTTTACATGGATTTGTCTAGTTACAATTCCATTCATGGCACATCTGGAATTAGCAAAAAATGCCCATCAGGCTGGACAGAAAGAAGAAAGAGATAATTTCATTTTTATCCCCTGTGACGCTGTCTTAGTCCTTTTGCCCAATCTCCCATCTGCTTATCCCTCTTACTGTAAGGAGGCTCCATGCCTTACCTAGAAATGGGACACAGCCATTTGCTAAGGTGGGGTAAAGTCAAGGATTAACCTTGGGAAATTTGCTGGTGAAGGATTGCTCAGCTTCTGGTTTCACCTTACTGACTTTCTCAGGCTCATGGATGCAGATGTGTGCTGATCTTTCTTACAGCTGTGTCTCATTGTCGATTTCCTCTGGGACAACAGTATTGTTAAATATTGCTGGCTAAAATTGACTGAAAAATGGTTGAGTGAGGTAGTCCAAGCAAAAGACTGAATGGTGTATGTTTGTATGTGTGTGTGTGCATGTGAGTGTGTCTCCTCTTACTGCTGCCAGCCACTGTGATGAATGGAATAGACCTTGGCTGCTTGTTACATCAGCAGTTGTGGCTAAACTAAGCCATCCATCTTAAGCTATAAGGCTAAAGTTCCTGATAACACTGTTCCTCCCCACCCGATGCTCTTGTTCAGTAGACTGCAGGCTGTGATGTCTTATTCCGTCGCTAATGGCATTTGCATTCCTAAAGTGGGAAGCTCTGATGGATTAATTGCTGTGATTAATCAAGTGATGCTTCCATCACCAATGAAGAGGCATAGAAATGGAAACAGATTTTAATTGCAAGCTGAGTAGGGTGCTCATACACACCGCACATATCAGTGGTGGGAAGAGTGACAAATGAACTAAGGATGCAGATGGCTTTAAAGACTTTTGCACAGATTGCTTTTAGAAGGTCTGAAGTCTGCCTTGGGACCTGCTCCTTCTATATCTATGTCACCCTCTGGGAAAGATGGGTGGCTAAATATATATTTATTGTGCTATTGCCTATTGTGCTATTCTGTGTGTGTGTGTGTATGCATGCACAATAGCACAGTAAGCTACTGTGCCTCTCTCTCTCTCTCTCTCTCTCTCTCTCTCTCTCTCTCTCTCTCTC